CCCCCGCGTGCACTGATTTGGGCAAAGTGGAAGGTGGTTCTTAAAGAGACAGAGGCCAATTTCAAGGCGTTTAGAAGAGGAAGTGATGAGAAGATAAGTTTATTTTCTATTTAAACATTAAAAACAGCATTTTACTAACAGCTAAAGGTGGCATGGATACTTTATTATGGTATAGTATTTAAATATATGCCTGAGAAACACATAATATTGGCCCTTTAAGGAAGATTGGTGCATTGTTTCTTATCCTTAAAATTTTGAATAAAAAGAAAGAGGAAAATCAAGTTTGTTCTGGCTCAAAAGGTTTGAGCTTTCAAATAAATCACTTTTGCTTAGCTTGTGGTTGTTTAAAAAGGCCAGGTGACTYACTTTTCAAAGTTTTATTTTTTTTAAAAAACACTTCAAACTTTCTCAAAGAATCCCAGCAAAGACCATTTTCAGACATTTTCAAGATTGTTGCTTTGTCTCGTCATATTGTCCCATTGAAAACAGAACTGGTGGGCTTTTTTTGTAGTCGGGGTAAATAATATAAAATTATAATACAAAAGGTGAGATGCTCTGAAATGGCAACTTTAGTCACATGGCTGTCTAAAACTGTTGGCATCTTGGAACATGCAGTTCAAACCAACAGTGCTGTTGTCACTGGGCTCATTTTGAAATACCTGCTTGCTGTGTGTAAGCACACACCAACTTGGCTGTGAATAATCTATGTGTTGTCTGGGTGAATCAACAAAGAAAAACAGCTGTAACTAAAGATGTATTATTTTCCCCCATAGATACGGTGCAATTATAGCATGAAAAGAGCTATAGTTGATGACATAAAGCATAAACTTTACCTTGAATCATTTGAATCTGAATTCTGTGGCACTTCACCAGAAAGAAAAAAAAAAGCTTTTTCAGAACAAACAATATCCAATGCTTTTGAGCATTAATATAATTGTGAAGCAAAATATTTACAGGAAGTAGATTATTTTAATAATAAAAAACAGGAAAGGCAATTATTAAAATAGAGGACAAGGTCATGTCTTGATGAATGTGAATATTGCAACTACAGTAGTTCTGCAAAGAAAAGGAAAAAATGAAAAAAAAATCTTGAACTAACACTAGAAATTTGTCATTGTTCTATCCTTTTAGGCCAGCACCATGAATGAAAGAGGAAAACAAGATCCTAGATTAAAATTGCCCTTCAACAGTGGTCCCCCATTCCTGGTGCTTGAAGACCACTATCCTGCATGTTTCAGTTGTTTTCCTGCTTGTCAAATTTGTTGTCTGTTAAATCATTCTTTCATTAATCAGGCATGTCAAAGCTGAATTAATCTCAAATCTGCTTTGTGCATCTGCTTGGAATGGATGAGTGATTTAGCAGGTATCTGCAGAACCTGAAGCCATTCTGAGGAGCAGGAAAAACTAAAACATGCAGAATATTGGCCCTTGAGAACCAGGATTGGGCACCACTGCCCTAAAATATTTGTTTTGTCACTCATTCTCACTAATATTTTTAACCTGTGGAGTGTTTTCACTTAACAGGCAACAGGTGGGCAATACCCTGAATGGTCTTTCACGGGTCCAAGCAGAATCTTTATGTTATCTCATTCCACAGTTAATATCTTAACTTTGAAATAAAATAAAAAAACAGAACCTAAACAGCACTCCTAATGTGTGAAAATGTAGAAAAAGGCACATTTTATGGGTACAAAACATAAAGGAGACTATTCCCATAAGTAAGATTATTGTATAAGCAAAGGTAGAAAACTACCTTTAATTACGTTTGTCCCAAATATGTCACATGTACCTTTCGTTGTATTCCTAAAGTAAATTGCAACAAGATCCATCCATCCATCTGTTGGATAATTTGTGGTTGCTTAATTGATCTTATATTTTATATTTTGTGATTGATTTTAATCATTTACTTTAAACAGTAACATAAACAACACATATCTGCTTAACATGTGTCTTGTTCTGGCAGTGTAAACACAAAGTTTGATATTTCAGGAATGTTAAATGATTGTAAGGGTTACCCTGGACAGGTAGCGAGTACAGCTCAGAGTCTTGCTACACGATGTTATAAAAAAATCTAAACCAATCCAAAATTATCTTTGGGAAAAGAAGAAAATAAGAAGTTGAAAAATGTTTTATTGACTGAGCACATTAGATGAGTCAGTGTCCCCGCAACACATTCAGAAAACTTCAAAAAAGTAAAAGGCTCAGTCAATATAGTGGAGTTAAAAGTCAGTCTCCTGTTTCCCTGTCTTGACAGTGTCAACAGCATCACAGACACCTGCAAATCTTACACAGGTCACCTCTTCTCTTCTCCCTTAGCCTGTTTGCATGCCTGTGTGAGTGTGTGTGCGATTGTATTTGTGAGTGAGGCAAAGAGTGAGAGAGGAATGGACTGCGAAGATCTCAGAGTTGTTTAAACTCAGACTAGTGGTTCGATATCCATCAGATTTATGTCTCTGTTATTTTCCTCTCCTAAACATGAAGTGATAAACTCGGTGAAGGACACAATAACAAAGATCTACCTTTTCACCTCTCTCTCCCTGTCTATTACTCGGTCTCTCTCTGTCTGTCCCTGTGCCATCAATCAGTCTTGTGGTAATTGCTGTTGGATTACAGGGCTTTTGCTGTCTGCTTCGAGCGATTAACGTCAGGACAAAAAAAAATGCCCTTATATACCTTCACAGTTACRAAGTAAAGAGTGTGGTGACTCGCATTCAGCATGAGCACACAATATGCAGTTCACAAAGTAATCTGAAATGTTGAAAAGTTTGCAGCTACTGAGTTCCAGTTCCGAGGTGCTCTGCCGTGACTTGCAAGTGTGATTTTCTACCTCATTGTCATTGTTTGATCCTCAAATGCATATCAGTTGGAGATAAAGTGGTGAATGTTGGGCTGCGATCTCAGCTGTGGAAGGTGGCAGCCATGATAGATCAGCAGCGACTGTGGGGGAATAATGGGAAACAGCAGAACTGAGGAACATACTCACCAGCACCCAGCAGCAGAGCATTTGCACATTCAACATGAAAATAACAAACCTGTTTCAGAATCACGTTTATTTTTCCCCCACTCCTACACACACACTCACAGAAACGGCAACAGTGACCATGGCACAGTTCCTCTTCCCCCCCCCCCCCCCCCCACCTTCCAAACATAATTTATCACCCACAGGAGCTAAGACCGCCTGTGTGCGTGTGTAGACAGTCTGACCTGATCCAGTGCCACCCTAACCTTATTAAGAAACAAAGTGGTGACAACAGAGAAAAATGTTCTCCCAAAGCCCTGTAGGAAAAAAAAACCAGGCACCATAACCAACTGTCCCTCAAAGTATGTCCTTTAACTCACGTCTCAAAGGGAACCTGCACACAAACACAGAGTCCAAGGGATTCGAGCATATTCCTGCTGAGAAAAAAAAAAAGGCAAAGACACCATTTGTCTTCATGTCACCTCCCTTCCCGTCCTCATCCTTTGCCTGTCACATTGTTTTATGCCTTCAGCTAATCCATCCACTGGCATGCATCTTGCAGCTACTATTCATATAAAACTAACATAAACACGGTGCAAAGAAACAGGGGACACATATAAAACATGACACAGCAAAAAGTATTTATTCCGTTTTCAGCTAGATTTTTGAACTACATTCACGGGATATTTCCCTTTTGATGCAAGAGGAGTTTGGTAACAAATCGCTTTAGAATAAAACAAACATATGAAAACTATTTATGCTCCTTTGCGTAACTTCTGTTTTTGCTCTATTCTCTAGTACAACTGGTATGTGTGGGACCTGGGAGTGGGGATGGTTCAAGGTAGTCGGTCTCTCTCTGCAGCCGCCTCCTCTTCATTTTGTTCCTTGCTGGCCCCGCCCCTGCAACAGCAAGACCAAATTCAAAGATCAAAGACAGACATCCTCCATATTCATCACCCAAACACTGGCCCATGGTTAATCAACAGATGTGATAAGCCTTTTGTAATTACTCTCAGACGGCGTCTTCGCAGAATTAGCTCTAGAAACATTTGTGGAATGTATCAGCTGGACACTTCAGCTGATATAGTTCATCATTAGTCAGTGCCAAGATGTGAGACATTCATTTGAAACTGACATATTGATGATTATGAGGCCTTAGCAGAACAAAAGACGACCGCCATATTTGATATGATAAAAATGAAAACAAGAAGACAGAGACATGTGAAAGAAGGTGTTGAYCATGTTTGAAACACACGGAGGAGATACAGGATAATGGACCTGCCGGTGCTCCTAATGTTTTATTTAAACATTCAGGAGAACAATCTCCTGCTTTGCATTATATTATGATGAAGTTAAAATACTTGGGAGTTTGTATTAATGCCAGGCAACAAAATGCTGTATRTTCTAACTCTCTGTATCAACTGCAGTCTTAGTAATCAGAAAAAAAAAATGTCAAAAACATATTTCTGTACTAAAYCACACCAATTTAACTGATGTAGATTTACTGTGTGAATTATTATGATGGCATGTTTTTGCAGTGCATTAGTCACATGACTTTTCTACATAAAAATAGTTGTAAAAACATTTTTTTTTGTAAACAAATGCTTAAAATTGGCATTAAAAATCTGAATGGTCGACTTGCCAGACATTAGATTGAAGTGAAAACTATAAAGTTGCTTCTGTATGAACAACAAGTAAACAAGAAACAAGTTAACATCATTAACCTAAGTAGTTACTTTAAGGTCATCTATTTGTGTAAGCTTGAATGCAATATACTGTCTTGWGCACATTATCTCTTTCTTTCTAAATGTGTTAACTGTTTTACTGCATATCTGAAAAAATTATATTAACAGAGCTTTTCTGAGCACAAGAACTCCAGTAGATTAGACTTAATACATCCACACATCAGAAAACAATTAACACACTTTTCCAAGTATTTATTATAAACTAGAAATAAAAAAAAAAACGATTTACTCTCTCTGACTTTTACACTTGTCTACATATTAAACAGAACATTAGTACCTATGGATGAAGTCAAAGCTAAAATCGAGCTAGTTAATAACTGCTACTGAAATAACATTAGTTTAACTTTTAAGAGGATATGTATGAATATCCTGAATTATCAAGTTTTATTGTCGCACCTATTGGACTTAATATTTCATAAAGATGACAATCTGGCAACCCTTTCAATACCATTTAATGAAAAAAAAGAACTATCTACACAGGCTATTATTTCTAGATTTCTGTTGTTGCCAAAAATATAAATATAAATAAATAAATCAGTGTCAAATGACTGTTTTTATTCTTGCCTTCCATGGCTTTTGTTTGTTGGTGTACATTACTCACCATATAGGATCTTCAAAATGACTTTCCGGCTGATTTTGAAATTCACTGTTTCCCCTGTCAAAAGCATGAGCACCTTTGTAAAGACAAAGAACATTATCGCTCAGGGTTTATAGGTCACTTTTACAATGAGATAATATGTTGACTGCATGTTGAATATATAAATATTTACATGTGCTCTCTTTGCTTGCCATGTATTTTAGTTTCTGCTCCAAACTGTGCAGCAGGTGTTCTGTTTTTTCAGGGTCCATATCAGGGTCCTCACAACCTCTCTGGTCCACGTTACAAACCTCCGTGATCTCATGCACAGCTGAGGAATGGCGATGAAAAGAGGGGCCACTCCCTGAGCCCAATGTGTGAGGAGACAAGCAGGCAGTGGGAGGGCAGGGGGGATGAGAGACGTGGTGAGAGGGAGATGCAGAGGTAAGGCTTGAATTCCTCCTTGGTGAATCAGTGGGAATTGGTGTGGATTTTTCAGACTGGTTAGACCTCGTCTCTGGGGG